GCCCCGCGGCCCCCAGACCCTCCCCACTGTCCCAGACCCTCCCCACTGTCCCAGTCCCTCCCCACTGTCCCCAGGTCAACCTTGCTGTTTGTTCTCCATGCCAAATTGCTGGCCTTCGGCTTTCCCTGCTGTTCCCCATGCCAGCCATGTGTCCTTCAGGCCCAGGTCTTGTCTAGCTCCAGCTTGAACATAGTCTTTCCCCACAGAGACCTCCAAGTGGCTACAGTCTGAAGTGGAGAGCTGGCTTCTAGCCCAGTCCGGCTGTGATGTGGCCTTCAATGGATCTCGGGCCCTAGCCCACCTACAAGCCCTGACTCCCAGCTTGGGCTTGTTCCCACCACCTGAGTTGCCACAACTTGACCCACTGGTCCTAGACACTCCAGAGGCCCCGCAGGCTGCTGCGCCCCGTGGTAGCTACCCCTCATCCTGACCACTTAACCACGTCCGGTACTGGCAGGGTGCCAAGCTCCGCCTCCTCCATAGCAAGGTGTCAATCGCGGCGACTGTATCTTCTGCCTGGACTCTTGGTTGTCGACAAGGCCATTATTTCTCCTAGGCCATTAGTTTTGCTATGCTATGCACTTAAAGAGTAGTCAGTCAGGGCTGCTGGCAGTTGCTAAGCAGCCTCCTGAGGCCAACCAATCAAAGTCGTGTGTCTCAGCTTGTATTTTATTTCTCGGCCCCGCCCCTGACGGGAACCTCACCCAGGCCGGGTGGAGGGGGCGGAGTTTGGGGAGCTTTGACACAGCTGCTGGATTGCAGCTGCTGGAGTTGGCCACTGTGAGCCCGGCCGGGCTGTGAAAGCTGTGTCTGGATGCCCTGCTTCATCTTCCGTTTAGCCTGCACAGGAACTGGCTGCCACACGCACCTGGGCGGGGCCCACTGCAGCCGGCAAGCCGTTTGGTCCTGGCACATCGAGGGTGCGTACACTGGGCACCTCAACCACGAGCAGCCAATCAGAATTCCTGGAGGAATTCTGCGAATCCATGTGAGATGAGCCATCTGTTCTGCAGCTGATCCGTCCTGGTTGAAGGCAATGGGAACTGCCTGGCCCAAAGAAGACGGTGGGCCTGCAGCATTCCGCCCCAAGATCACTCCAGCTCAGGCCAACCAGCCCTTGCTGCAGAAGCCGCTTTGGTATGGGTCTCCCTACTGTGCAATATTTATCACTTTACCTTCTTCCAAAGGAATAAATAATGTTTAATAAATCTGGTCAGTGTGGCTGCAGGTGAAAGGGGGTGGTCAGAATCCTGGAAAGAGGGTGTGGCAGGGTCCCAGATGGGGGTCTCAGAAGGCGCTGATGCCGCAGGAAAGCTTTGTTTGAAAGAGTCTGGACCTCAAGAAGACCAGGCGCAGTAGTGCAGACTGTTCAGCACACAGTGGGACCCAGCCTGAAGCAGGTGAAATCCTGGGAGGCCCAGCGGTACCCACTGCCTGAGTAGAGGGGGTGTTACTCTACAGTGGCCTGTGTGGGTGTGGGAAGAGCTGGGTTCTGGGAAGGAGGGGAGAACAGTCTGCAGTAGGAGACAACTCTTTCAGTGGTTGGGGCAGAGACAAGATGTGGAAGAGATCACCAGCTCAGAAGTGCGAGCAGCCTGGGTCCCTGAGAGAGGCCACACAACTGGAGCAGGGAGAGGGCTCTGAGACAGTTCTAATGAGGTCTTCAGGGAGGAATGGGGCCATCCTGATCTTACCTAGGTCAGCTGCCCTTAGGAAGCTGGCTCCAGCTGGCGTCCCAGGGCGGAGAACCTGGGAGTTGAGCTCTGACTGAGACTGGAGTGGAGGGCTGCTGTTAGGGAGGGAGGGAGGGAGGGAGGGAGGAAGGGAGCTGAGCTAGTCCGTGGTTAAACAGATTTTATTCTCTAGACACACAGCATTCATTCACGTTTCCGCAGGTGGATGTAGATGATACCGCTGACCAGGGCGAGGGGGAAAGCCACCCAGGCCAGGGCGAAGCAGTAGCCGAAGCTGCCCCCACGCGGGTACTTTTCCAGGATCTCCTCAGGATGGATGGCATAGATCAGTGCCCCAGAGAACACGGCTGCACCTGGGGAACGGGAGCACAGTGTGAGGCTGGCTGCGCAGGGTGGTTGCACTGCCCTGGGCCCTCTGCAGGCATCCAGCTGCTGCAGCGTGGCTTTGGGTCCCCAAATGCCCATCTGTGAAATAGGCCCTGGCAACCATCCATCCATGGAATTCTTCTTGAGTTTTTCCATGAACCAAACATACAAATATGAGTAAGTAACACGGGTGGAGTTTCCCAGGGAACCCAGGAAGATGTGTCCCAAACCACCATGATTAACTCAGCCCTTTGCACCTAGAGCCAAAAAATTAAAAAAAAAAAAAAAGAGCTGTGTGTTCAAATCTCAGTGACCTCTTCTTCATCCCCCAACCCCCTGAACCCTTCAAGCCTCAAATTATTTGACCTTAAAAAAAAGTGTGTGTATGTGTGAATGGTGGGGGGGCGGCGGAGAGATGTCTCAGCGGTTAAGAGCACTGGCTGCTCTTCCAGATGTTCTGAGTTCAGCAACCACATGGAGACTCACAACCATGTGTAATGAGATCTGGTGCCCTCTTCTGGTCTGCAGGCAAACATGCAGGCAGAACATGTATAAACAAATAAACAAATCTTTTAAAAAAAGTGGAACTTGACTTGATGGCCCACACCTGCACTCTCAGCTACTCAGGAGGAGGCGAGGATAGAAAACTCAAGTCCAGTCAGGATGACATAGCCCCTTTTCCAAACAGAAAGAGGGTTGAGAGTGCATGCCTAGAATCCACCAGTGTGGAGCTTGTCTGGCATGCCAGAGGCCTTTGTTACATCCCCAATATTGAATGAAGAGAAAACGTGAGCTCCCTGAACAAGAAACAGCAGTTGGCTGATAGGTTTCAGAGCTTTCCTTTCGTGGTATCTCTTCTGTGCCTCCATTCCTGGAACCCAAATCATTTACCAAAACCTACTTCTCTAAAGTCCCAAGGCCTCCGCGGCACCTCTGAGAACTGGGGTCACCGAGGCTGTCCTTGGGGGAGGGCCTGGCGAGGTGGACTCCCATCCCCTGATCTCGGGGAAGTGCTTACTGGTGCAAAGCTGGCAGAGGCCAGTGGCATAGAAGAGCCCTCCTCTCCGCATGGTGTAGAGCTGGAACATGAAGAGGATGAAGGACAGGCAGCAGAGGATCAGAGAGAGCACCATGAGCACCTGCACTGCCTTCAGCCAGCCTGTAGGGGGAGACACAGTGTGGTCACAGCCCACCCCCACTTCCCTGCTTGCTGGTCTCTCCAATGCAAGCTTCAGGGGTGTATGTATCACAGGGATCACAGACCACACAAACCCTCCCCACCCTCACCTGCCACCCTTAGGCATTTGGGAGGAGGCAACTCCATGCCTTTAGAACTCTGGCCTTTTCTGCTCTCCTCAGCTGCCGTGAACGGCTCTTACACACACAACACCGCTCCATGTCCTTACAACTTTGGAAAGCTTACCTTCCCAGAATTTAGGGAGCTTTCTCCCCATTTCTTAAGCCTGTAGCATGTGGCCTCCACCCTTTCTGATCCATCAGGACAGAGGCAGTGGCTTTTCCATCCAGATAGGCTGCCTATGCCAGCCCCAGATGCAGCCTAGGCTGGGTTCCCAAGCCCGACCCTGGCCTGTTCGGGGGCCCTCAGCTGCCCTCAGCTGTATGCTCACCATTCTCGCTGACGTTACTGCAGGCCCATGTTTGGGTTGTGGTGTTCCACGTGCAGTCATACCACAGGTTCAGGGATTCCTTCTCTGGGAGAGTCCACCAGGACTGGGAGGGACAGAGGGGGGGGTGAGGAGAGGAGGACGGAGTCAGGGAGAGTGGGGATGGAGGCACCTAGGAGGTGTGGACTTGTGGGCCAAAAGGGTGGGCAAGGCTAGGGGAAAGGTCTGGCCCAGAAGTAGGAGTAGGGAGGTGGAGGCAGGGAGGGAGGTGGAGGCAGGCAGGGAGGGAGGTGGAGGCAGGCAGGGAGGGAGGTGGAGGCAGGGAGGCAGAGGCAGGCAGGGAGGCGGAGGCTTAAGAGATGGGCTGTAGCTGGAAGCTTACCTTGTCCAAAGTGGCCACAAAAAGCAAGACGAGAATGAGGATGTGGAGGGCAGAGACCACTAACAGGAGGAGCGACATGACTGCCAGCCGCCTGGCTCAGAGCAGGAGGGACAAACCTGCAGAGTGTGGGAGCACTCAGTCCTGGGCAAGAGGGCTGGGGTCTGAGGGAGGAGGGCTTGGGAAGGCTCCTGGGTGTGAGGGAGAAGGGGAGTAGGCTGAGCAGTCTTCCCTGGGGAGCAGGAGGCTCCTGTGCTCCTCCAGTGGCCTAGAGATTCTCCTACATGGACTTAGGGGACAGACGGGCAGAACTGGCAATGCATTGGTGCATGCCCAGTGCCTTGTCCCAGGGCTATATGGGTCCCCGTATGGAAGTTTAAATTGATGCCCCTTTCTAACCCATCAGGAGCAGGGGCTGCCCCAGGACAGGCCTCCTGGACTCACGCACTCTCTTCTCCTGGGTGAGTCATGGGTGACTCATTCCCCCCTCTTCCTCCAGCCCCTGGCTGAGTGAGTCTCTGTGGTCCTCACCCCACCCTACTGTGGACCTAAGGCTCTGGACACTTGGGGAGATGGACTAGAAGTGGGATGGGGGAGGTCTGAGTGGTGAGACCATCTCATACCACCCTCCAGTGCCCAGAGAACTCAGCCCTGGGAGCCCTCCTGCACCGCACCCCTTCATCTCAGGAGAGAGTGGAAGACCCCATGGGGAGGCTACCAGACATTTCCCATGGTGTGCTCCGTTGGGACCACAAGTCCTCTAGATGGTCCCACTCCTTCCTGTACCCCCCACCAAAGGCTGAAAGGTCCCTTCTTCAGCCACCATTGTCCGGGGACTGAGTGGAGGGTTTCTTCCTGCCTAGGATGCCCCTCCCACGGTGCCATGCTACCCCATAAATAAATCCTGTCTGAATAACGGGTTGCAAACTTACCACCGAGAGTCGCTGAAGAAGTCAGACTTGGAGTCTGTCCTCGGTCGGGCCTCTCGCCCCGCCCTTCTGCTCCCTCCTTCCAGCTGAGGCCTGTGCCTCCCTCAGCTGCCGTCCTCCCGCCCCTTACCAGCACCCTTCTCCCTCTCCTTTCCCCTCCCTCCCCTTCTCTCTCTCCTGTGGTGGTTTCTGCTTCTCTTAACTCTCAATATATACCAAGCCTTTTATATCCACTTTGGCCTCGCCCAGCTGAGTCCTGTACTCAGGGGAGGGCACAAGGACTTGGTTCCTGATTCTCTGCCCACCCAGTCATACAGTGGGCATGTTCTGAGACCTCCTTTCAGGGCTCAGATGAGAAAGCTTTGGGGCCCTGGGGTGGGGCACATGACCTCCTTGGACAGAATGCTTGCTTTCTTTGATGGAGTTTGGGGCTGAGGATAACACAGGAGTCTGCAGAAGGCCAGACTCTTGTGACGTAGATCAAACTTTGGTCTGACTCTGAGGAGGGACAAGAAGTATGAATCCATGGAAAGAAGCAGGATGTAGCCTTTAAGAATGCCAACGATTTTCTGGTTGTGTGACTTTGGGTAGAATATTTCCTTTTCCCAGGCCTCGGTTTGCTAATCTGTGTAGTGGGTACACTATACCACCAGTAAAGAAAATAGAGTATGGGAATACTGAGTGGATGGGTGGATGGGTGGGGGCTGACTAAGAAAAACAGGATACTCCTGGAAGGTCTCTTGGAGGATGTGATATTTGAGCTGAGATTCAAGGAAAGGAGTCACTTGGATACCAGGGCGAAAAGAAAATTGTTCAGGCCCTGAGAACAAGCTCCTGTTGTTGGGGGAGCAGACAGAGGGCCAGTGTGGCTGGAGCACAGGCAGCCTAGGGTGTGGTGAGAAGGGACATCGGAGGACTCACTTGACATTCATGTGGAACCCGGATGTGTTGTGGGAGGCCATTAGAATCCTCACAGCGGTATAGTCCCAGGACTGTGATGTGCACTGTCTCAGGACACTGAATTAGGGGGTGTGTGGGGATAACTGAGTATATCTGCATTCCTTGGCAGACGACCAAGTTCTGGTTCTGATGAAGTAAGGGCTTGGGGACCTGAACGATGGGATATGTGGACCTCGACGGGGTGAGCTGGGCGGACTGTGATTGAGAGACCAGGAGCTGGGCCCACACAGCACAGACTAGGAGCCCTCCCGGCTGGCTGTGTGATCCTAGGCAAGTCACTGCGGACCTCTCCTTGATCCTCCCTTCACCTCTAGGGACGGTAGTGCAGTGGGTAGCATCGGTCTAGAGCAAGGCTTGGCAGTGTTGTGCAGCTTAGAGCAACATTGGGGCTCCCGTGGAGTCAGGGGAACTCTGGTTCAGAGGCTCTTGGAGAAAGGGGCAAATACTTGGGTCCCTTGAGTCCCAAAGCTAAAGTTTGGAAAGGGTGGCTGGAGGGGGGGGGGGATAGACTTGGGGAAACTGATCCTAGGGTGCTTAGTAGAGAGTGGGTCACGGAGGACAAAAATTGGGGGCTTGGGGTAGAGTCTTGTGTTCCTCTGGCATTGCAGGGACAGGAGGCTACATCCCACATCCCACGCCTGGGAGCAAGGAAGATGCTGAGGAAGCCTGAACAGACTTAACATTCCTTGAAGTTTAATCAGTTCGGCACTTGGGGTACCTAGAGGAGGCGTTTAGGGAATCCCCAACAATAGTGACCGGTAAAAGTCTTAAGTATCTGGCGACCAAGGGTGTTGGCGGGATCTCCCCCGCCCAGGCCTCGGAGGAGCGCTGCCTAGCAGCCACTTCCTCCCACAGGAAACCGCAGGCGTCAGGCACACCCAGCCGGCAGGCAGAGGCGCCCACAGCCCGCTCGCAAGAGGACCACGTGGGATGAGGAGCACGGCCAGACGGAGAATCCGCTGGAGGCTCCGCCCACTCTCACTTCCGCCTCGGCCCTACGCGCCACGAACCGTTGCTGGCGCGTGCGTAGTGAGCCTGTGTAGGAACAGATCGCGGTGAGCGTTCCCCGAACCCTAAATTCCTCAAATAGCCAGGCCACGGCAGGCTTTTCTTGGACCGGTGCCGAAGGACCCTGCCTAGCCCTAGCCTAGTCTTCCAGAGGCCGAGCCCCACGCACCCGCCAGCACCGAGCCTCCCTCCAGGACGTCCCAACGCCTGCGCTCCTTTTAAACGACAGGGCCCGCCCCAAAGCCTAAAGCCCGCCTTTTCCAGCCCCTAAGCTCCCCCTTCTCACTGAAGTCCCCGCCCTGCAGGTCCAGAGCTTCTCCCAGGACCCTGACCCTCCCTCCTGGACCTCTCGTAGCCTCGCCCTTTATCTTAGAGCTAAGGGGGGCCCCCACCCCAGCTTCAGCTCCTTACAGACTCCTGGCTCCTTCTAGGGCAGTGCTTCTCCACCTTCCTAATGCTGGACCTTAAATGCAGTTCCTCATGTTGCGGTGACCCCCAGCCTTAAAGTTATTTTCGTTGCTACTTCATAGCTGTTGATTTTGCTACTGATACGAATCGTAATGTAAATATCGGATGTGCAGGGTGTCTGATACGCGACCCCTGTGAAAGGGCCCTCGGCCCAGGGGTCCCGACCCACTTGTTGAGAACCTGTTCTAGGGTCTTCTCAGCCCCGCCCCTGCCGTCGCCTCTGGCTGGCCCCTCGGCAGGGGTCCCCTCAGTCCCGAGTCTTCCATTGGCCTCTCCCGCCCTGCTCTCGGCCCTCCCCTGCCGCTGTCCTCAGGCTTCCTTGGTCCCTTGTCTCCCCAGTAACCAGATCACAACAGTGAGCGTGGAGCAGTTCGGACCGGTCAGGCACTCGAGCAGGTAGAGCCGAGACCTCGCCCCCGCCCCCAGCCGGCGGCTCGGAGGTGCGGAGGTGCGGAGAGGCGGCCCGGGCACCGAGTCAGAGTAAAGCGGCGGGACCCAGACAGTGTGTTTGGGTGAGCTATGTCCCGGGGGCGAGACCCAGGGAGGCCGCAGTGCTGTTGGTCGTCCAGCGGCTCTGACTCGCACGCTCTGATGTCCCCTGCAGGAGCGCCGCCTCCATGGCCACGATGCCTTTGGGCCTGTCAACCAGGAGCGCCCGCTTCGAAGAAGGAAGCGAGGTCTTCCTGGAGGGACCGGGTAATTCATGATTCCATTTCTCCTCTGAAGTTCCTCTCCTGTTCTCAGCTTCTCCAAGTTCCAGAGCCAGGGCTGGGGAGGCGTCCCAGGAGCACCCTTTCCTGAAGTCAGATTAGAGCCCGAACAGAGGGGACTGCTGACATGTGGCGGGGCCAAGCCAGGCAGTGGGGTGGCCGGGAAGACCTCGGATTTAAGAAGTTTGAGTTCCAGCATCCAGAAATCGCCAGGGGAGGACCGCTGAGATGGTTCAGCGAGTAAAGCTCTTGGCACCAAGCCTAACAGCCCGAGGAACCCGCGTGATGGAAGAAGAGCAGCAGCTCCTTCTGGCCCTCCTTACACTACATAAATGGGATTTAAATCAGAAAAAGAGAGGGCACTGGCGTGGTGGCGCACGCCTTTCAGCCCAGAGCCGGGGAGGCGGATTGGAGTTTGCATTTCAGGTCAACAAGGGCTACATAGTAAAACACTGTCTTAAAAAAAAAAAGCCGCCGAGAAGAGAACAGCCTAGGGTAGGAGCGTAGGGTTTCTCAGTCTTATGGACGCTGGTTTGGGTCAGTTCTCAGTCGAGGGGCGAGGAAGCTGGGAACCTGGTTGGAAAGATTGAAGGGATGAGTAGGGCAGGCTCCTTGGGCCTTGGATGCTAGGCTGAGGTGTCTAAGAAAGAAGGGCTCATTCTGGTGTAGGAAGTCCTTAGGAACTTCGTAGGGAGATGAGTGGAGACAGGGAAAAGATGAAGCATGAGCCCAGAGGACAAGCGGGGGAAGAGGGAGGAGCAGTCAGGAGAGAGGCCACCCACTGAAGCCTAAGAGGGAGTGCCACTTTCTCTAGCCACACGTGCCAGAGACCAGGAGGCCTCCCAGGAACATCCTCCAGTCAGAATGGGTTAGGAAAAAACGGGGGTCCTTTTGGCTGGGACTGAGAGGGAGTCCCAGATGATGCCAGGGCAGGGGCTGCAGTACAATTTTAGCTTGCAGGACTCCCAAGGGAGCAGGATTCCTCGGTTCTGGGGATGACTGGCAGTCATGATCCACTTTGAGTCCATTCCTGGTCTCGCCCATAGTGGACTGGGAGCTCAACCGCCTGCAAAGACAATGCAAGTTGATGGAGGGGCAACGACGGACATACAGCAAGGAGGTTCACCAGCGCATCAGCAAGCAACTGTGAGCTGGCGAGAAGAGCGGAAAGGGATTTCTGAGCCCTAGGAGGAGGGAAGGAAGGAAGAGGGGTCGGGAAGTACAGGGGTAGGGGAGGAGCAGGGGCAGAAGAGTGGTGGTGAGGGACAGGATAGAGAGGGTAGGAACAGGAGGAGGTACAGGGTCCCAGAGTTGCGGTATCTCAAGAGAGTCAGGTGCTGGGGAAGGGACAAGGTAGGGGAGGAGCAGGGTGAGGAATCAGAGGAGGGAAGGGGTTGAGAGAAACACAGGGTGGGGGGTTGGGGCTCAGTGAGGGGCGGCCGGCAGGAGCTAGTAGTTGTTGCTGGCTTGCTGGTAGGGACCTCCTCCCCGCTCCTCTTGGACAGGGAGGAGATTCGGCAACTGGAGGTGTTGCGAGCCAAGCTCCAGATGCAGATCAGCGTGGCGCAGAGCCAGGTCAAGCGACTGAAAGACAGCCAGCGTTTGGAGGACATGGACCGTCTACTCAAGTGCAGGGCTCAGGTGCAGGCGGAAACAGAGGCGCTGCAGGAGCAGGCCCGGGCACTGGACAAGCAGGTGGGTTCTCCTAGTCGGGTGTCATCCCATCAGACCGTGTAGTATCTGATCTAAGCGAGATCCACCAAAAGCCTCCATCCAGAGATAAGGGTGGCACTGGACAAGCAGGTGGGTTCTCCTAGTCGGGTGTCATCCCATCAGACCGTGTAGTATCTGATCTAAGCGAGAACCACCAAAAGCCTCCATCCAGAGATAAGGGTGGCATTTACCTTTGTAAAACCAGCACTCAGAAAACTGAGGCTGGAAGGTTGCTGGAAGTTCTCCTGTGAGCTACAAAAGAATTCCACCTCCTGCAATGTGCCAGGCATAATAAAATAGCTTCCAAGCTCTAAAATTTGGCTGAGAAAAAGCAACTTTGAATACCTTTAACCATTGGAAAAAATGACTTACTAATTTTGGGAAGTGTGTTTTTGTTTTGTTTTGTATTTCTCAGGTCAAGGAATTTCTCTGTGTAGCCCTTGCTGTCCTGGTACCCACTCTGTAGACCAGGCTGCCCTTGAACCTGGAAATCTTCCTTCCTCTGCCTCCCGAGTGCTGGGATTAAAGGCACATGCCACCACATCTGGCTTTTTTTTTTTTCTTTTTTTTTTTGAGACAGGTTTACCTTAGCTGTCTCGTAACTCAGAACGTAACCCAGGTGGCTTGGAATTCACAGAGATCTGCCTGGATCTGTCTTCCAAGTGTTGGGATTAAAGCTGGGCTCTGGGAAGCATTTTTTGAAGTAGTGGGTTCTAAATTTTCTTAAGTTCTTAGTAAGGTTTTTTTTGTTATTTTTGTTTTATGCTCACTGATGTTTTACCTGTACATACCTGGAGTTACAGACAGGTGTGAGCTGCCACATGGGTGCTAGCAATTGAACTTGGGTCCTCTGGAAGAGCAACCAGTGCTTTTAACCTCTGAGCCATCTCTCCAGACCCCTCAGTAAGGTTTTTTTTTGCTTGTTTGTAAACCTCTGGAAGTCAGAGTCTTGGTGAGAAACAGCTCTGAGAGCTCAAAGCCTTGACTTGCAGCTTGGCTGATTGTCTTCTGCTGATATTCCTGTCCTGGCCTTGTAAGTGGTCTGAAGGTGACTCAGTTGAGTCGTGCCCAACGTGGACTGCTCACTCACAGAATGTGGCAGGGTGGGTGACACTGTCACTCCCTTGACCGGGTCATGGCAGAAAGACCCCGTTTAGTAGACCGCAGACTGAAGAGAAGACTCCCACCAGCACTGAGAGCCACATGGCAGGGGCGGCAGAGGGGCCCCTCTCTCAGCGGTGAGCTGCTGTGTCGGCTTGTCACCAGCTAGACATACTTGGGAAGAGGGAAGTCTAACTGAGAAAATGCCTCCCTAAGGTGTCCTGGGTGCCATTAGAAATCAGGTCCAGGAAGCCATGAGGAAGCCAGGTGCCTTCCCTTCCCAGACTTCTTCACGTGGACTGTGTTTGGGATATGTGAGCTGAAAGAAGCCCCGTCCTCCCCAAGCTGCTTTTTGCTCATGGTGTTTCATCACAGAACAGAAACCTTCACTAGGACAGCTGCCAGCAGTTCTTGACGAAACTCAAGCCAGCTCACAATTGCCTGATGTCAGGCTTGCAGCTTTGGGAGATCCTGAGCCTAGGGACCCTAGAACTGTGACATCAATGGTACTGATACAGTTTAAATATGGCTAGATACCCAAAGGACAATTTCTGGAGGCTAAGAGAGGGTCTTCCCCCACCCCTCACCAGCTGCAGCACTGGGGAGAGTAGGTCCAACACCATAGAGCTGGCCCTCCTCGGTGGTGTGGGTGCAGGTGAGCTGGCCCTGAGGGTGAGCAGGAGAGCTGGCCTGGAGCATGAATAATAAAAACCAAGAGACAGACAGTGGGGTTCAACCTGAAGATCAGAGAAGCAAAGTAGCCAACCACAAGAGAGACCTTTTCCCTCTACCAAATCTTCAGACTGAAGGGGTGAGAGCCTGTCTCCATGAATCCTCAGACTTGTGAGCTTCTGTCTCCTCCCTGTCTCCACCTCCCTAGTGCTGGGATTGAAGGCATGGGATCACTTTTGTGTGAACTCTGTTTCTATTTTAGACAGATTCAATTGTGTGTAGTCCCAGGGTGGCCCTGAACTCTATCTCCTGAGTCCTGGAATTAAAGGTGTGTGCCAACACTCCCTGGCCTGTATGGCTGATTAGTATGGCTTCTTTGCGCTCTGATCTTCAGGCAAGTTTAATTTATTAAAATGCAAATAATATACCACTATATTCCCCTTCTTGTCTAAAATAAAAAGAAGGCTATAACTAATATGAGAATAACTATATACAATAAGTACAATGACTATACACAATATATACAGGTAATAAATACATCAACAGTATCTAGTCTATTTGCATTTGACAAATTTAGAGAAGATACTCCATATCTATCCTATCTTGGTGACTCCAAAGTCTTGTACCTAATATCTATCATAACTTGCTTTTTGCATCTGGTAAACAAGGAAAACTATATCTATCTAGTCTTCAACTCCCTCAGAGACCCAAGAAGGAAATAATGTTAACTGAGTAAGCAGGAAGTACAGGTAAACGACTTCCAAAGAATGTGAGAAATGACAGAAACATCTCGCTGCCTGGATAGCCACCCAAAGTTCCTCTGCAACCTTGGGGCATCCATCATCAACCTACAGGTCTAGTATGTCCCACAGACTTTTCTGTGAAGCAGGATATTCTGAAGGACTGTCTATCCTTGTCTTGACAAGGTTTGGAAGTTATTCTATTTTGTGTCTTGCTTTGTCCAATTAAGACAGCATACTGTCAGCAGTCGAGGCAAGGGCACTTTCTTGCCCAACAGTTTACTTTTGCCACAAAGAAAGTGAACTACATGTGGAGTTTCTTCCATGCTCATTATCGTCTCTGAAGGAGATTGGTGCTGCCAGGAGCAGACATGTCTCGTCATGAAAAGGAACCTAAGTTATTAAAGTATCTTAAATGCCATACTTTGTAGATCCCTGAAGTGTTTGAAGATGACCCTGAAAACATACCTAATGTGACTATAAGTTCAATTATAATAGGCGATTAACTACTAACCTGCATTTCCTTATTATCCTAAACAATTGATCATAATTTTGAAGGACTAGAGATTTGCATTACATTGTTAAATGAGCTGTATAGGTACAATACCTTGAACAAGAGTAGAAATGTATGTATCTTATGTTCTAACAAAATTCATCTCAAAATTGTTTCAATATACAAAATTTGTATATAATATATAAAAATCCAATGTAAAACATTTAAAACTAGTAGTTGCTTTTTAAAATAGATTCAATAATCTACCTTTTTTTTTTTTTTTTTGATTTTTGATACAGGGTTTCTTTGTAGCTTTGGAGCCTGTCCTGGAACTCACTCTGCAGACCAGCCTTGCCTCGAACTCACAGAGATCTGCCTGCCTCTGTCTCCCGAGTGCTAGGATTAAAGACATGTGCCACCACCACCTGGCTAATAATCTACCTTTTAATCTTATGTCTATATCTTTCCTTTTTTCTTTTCAGAGTAGATTCAATAATCTTTATCCCACCATATCTGTATCCCCACTTTTTCTTTGCAAAACAAGAACTCTACATCTAACCTCCTTTGTTCAACTTTCCTCCTGGCCATACCAATAACATTTTGTAACAAACTCTCCTAAAAAATGGCAAATAGCCACACACCAAATGGTCAAAACCCCAACCTACCTTTTGGGAATGTGGGTGTCGTATTTTTAAATTTACTTCCTGCTGTCTGGGTGGCAACGTTATATTTAGGGGATCCTGAAAAGAAAATTTTGTGTTAGTTGTCAAGTCCTGGGAGAGGCAGCTGTATCATTTGTTGTTCAGTCTCTGCATAACGGGAAAGTGCAGGGCTTGTCTCAAGTCCTAGCTAGAGCATTCTGTTAGGCTGGATCATCTGAGCTAGCCACCTCAAAATTGTTCTGAGCAGTTGCAGTCCAAAACCAATCTTTAGGTGGTGTTTTTCAGCTTAATGGTGTTATCCTAGTCCTGGAGGAACTGTCGTGGGGCCACATCCTCCTTTTGGAGACTTCAAAGGTTGCTGTTAGGTGTACTCATGGGTCACTGCAGGAAACTGATAGAAACTCAAACCCAAAATTATGTACAGGAAGGTATATGAAGCCTTTTTCTAGAATTAGTTGGTACTCTATATGACCATTAATATCATGACAAAAAATTTAGAATATATACATATATGTGTACGTGTGTATTAATCTTAGAAAATTTATAGCTTAAGAAAAGTTGTTAAAGAGTCAATATAAAACCAAAGGATTCTGAGATTAGTGGCAATAAAATAGTCCTTAAATATTTGTTTTTCTTCTGTCCCGTATCAGGTGGCTCATCTGATACGAGACAGAGATTTTGGATTTTACTTTAATATCCATGCTTGGGTTTAGAGAAGGAGAGCCACACTCCAACTCCAGAGCCAGCTTTAACTGGACTGAGACTACAAAGAGACCATTTGCATTATGTATCTGTAGAAGAGCAGAAACATTTGAATCACATGGTAAAATGCCATCCATGTCATGCTAAACTATAGATTCAGAAATTGCTTACGTATCATCTCTATTGACTGACCTACAAAATATTGGCACAGGGTAGAGCTATTTAACATTTCCTGTGGGAGAATCTTCCACTGATAAATCTTAGCAGACTGAGAATTATTATAAGTAGGCACTGTAGAGGCAAATTTTCTCTGTCTTTTTCTTGTAAAGGTGTAGTGAAGAAATGATCTTTTAAATCAATAACTATAAGAGGCCATCCTTTAGGTAATAGAGGAGGCAGAGGAATTCCAGGAGTCCAATGGCTGAGTCACCTTATTACAGGCCTTAGATCTATCACCATTCTCCATTTTTCAAATTTCTTTTTAACAACAAATACAGGAGAATTCCAAGGACTGGTTGATTCTTCAATATGGTGAGCATCTAGTTGCTCCTGTACCAGCTGTTCTAAAGCCTGCAGTTTCTCTGTTGTTAAAGGTCATTGCTCAACCCATAC